AAATAACTGTAACAGACTCTTTCTGTTCCTCATCCTCACCGAAACGAGCAGGCAGACAAGGCTCCCAGGCTGTGCCTGCTGGATTCCCTCCCTGCAAGCAGCTCTTCTGAGCAATCTGCTACACCAATTACAAATCTTGGTTTCAGGAAGGACTGTTTCATGACCGTAAGTACACAGGGAACAGACTGACCTCAACCTGAAGCCAGGTGACAGCTGTTTCCAAAAGTGCAATCTGTTTATTGACGTGAAACAAGAGAAGGGGTCCATGAGTGACTGCAGATTGCCAGGGCAGCTCAGCACAACACTTGCACCTTCCCTAGAGCCCTACAGCTAGAAGCCAATTCGGTTTATTTCATATGTAAATGATATAACAAAGTGGAGCAAACAGAAATTCATCGGAGCAGTACTGTTATCAAGCACAAGGCAAACACTTCCAAAATCACTTCCCAGGCTTCGTATTTAGTGTCTCTGTCTTGCATTCCTTCTAGCAAGGGTGTAAGAGAAGTGGAGCATTCAAGGAACACACATGAAATGGCCAGGCACGGAGCACTTCAGCTGGCTCCTCATCTCCAGTGTTACCCATAACACGGGAGTTACCTCCTGCACGGTGGCAGCTGTGCAGAGCAGAGACACTTCCTAAATTTAACTGTGCAATTGGTCAGAGGACACAGAGAAGTCCCTGAATGACTGACTTTGCTTCCACCGTGCTCTGCGGGATTTTAAAGTCATGTTCTAACAGCAGCAGAGGAACAAGTTAGCCCATGACCAGAAGCAAGAAGTAAGGAAAACTAGTTTCCTTTCCATTTATTTCTGTCTTCACCTTTCCTTCCCACATGCCTCACTGGGTAACCTCATTGGGGAGCACACAGTATCCACTCTGACTTCATCCAAGAACCATGCACATACACTGAGTAATCAGGCAGCTGCTCCCAGGGCGAGTGTGTACCCCTGGAGGGCCACCTGCTTTTCCTCTTCATTTTGGCCTCTCCCTCCTAGCTAAAAGGAGCCATTTCACAAAACTTACAGGAATTACAGAAACGGAAAAAAAAGAATAATAAATAATCCAAGCAACTGTGAGAAGGTGCCATTTCACATGAGCTGGGACACGCCGGGGCACACGTGACCAGAAGCAAGAAGTAAGGAAAACTAGTTTCCTTTCCATTTATTTCTGTCTTCACCTTTCCTTCCCACATGCCTCACTGGGTAACCTCATTGGGGAGCACACAGTATCCACTCTGACTTCATCCAAGAACCATGCACATACACTGAGTAATCAGGCAGCTGCTCCCAGGGCGAGTGTGTACCCCTGGAGGGCCACCTGCTTTTCCTCTTCATTTTGGCCTCTCCCTCCTAGCTAAAAGGAGCCATTTCACAAAACTTACAGGAATTACAGAAACGGAAAAAAAAGAATAATAAATAATCCAAGCAACTGTGAGAAGGTGCCATTTCACATGAGCTGGGACACGCCGGGGCACACGTTGCTGAGCAGACGCTGCAGTTCCCGTGGCACACAGGGATGTCTCTTTGCCAAGAGAACAGGTGGAATTTTCAGTCAAAGGGGGAACTGACGGGTCAGGAACTGCAGAGTTGTTTCAGACAAATCCTTGTGTCATCAGTAATGGTGTTGCTTATTTTGAAAAGAAACATATGCATGACTGGACAGGTGTGTGTGTGTGGGGGGGGAAAACCTGCTCGGTTCTGCAGCCAAGTATTTCCCCTTACTAAAGAGCATCTTAAAATATCCCAGCTTGGGTACTCTCATGCTGGAAAGCAGTACTTGGCATTGTCCTCTCAAATACTTAGCTGCAAGCTGGAACTTCTCCAGGGCCTCTCCTCACATGCATGAAGAAAACCGAGTGCTTTGAATTATTTCAGCCTGCTTAAGTGCATACTCCCCTGTTTGTTTAGAGAGCTTGGTATTTGTCTCTAAATACTTGATAAACTTAAGAAAGCAAAAATATAAACAATTTATGATAAAGTTTTATATTCAGTTTGAGGCCAAACTACACTAAGTATCTGAGGCAGCCATATAACAAAGAAGTAACTAAACAAGGTTCACCACTTCTCCCACTTTAATATCATATTACCTTAGGAGAAACACAACAACTGAATGTATATCATACATTACTCATCTCAATAACATTGAGATGAAGAAAGATGTATATAAATAGCTACTTGAAGAACATCATATTTTCTTTCAGAGCTCATTCTCTAATTGAGCCAATAGCCCAGCACTTTCTTGAACAGCCCAGCTTTCTTGGAGCAGCACACAAAGGCAATACTATGCATGCAGACTGTAATGATTACTTACCGTGCCATATAAACCGACTTTAAAACAAAGGAGAATAAACAACTACCACCCACTGGTTGTCAGGCTGGCTTCTGCACAGCCTTTCTTGGACATGCAAACTGCTGAACAGACATTTCCTTGTTGTATGCAATCTGTATAGATAGGCCTGTAAAGCTAGTCTGACCACAAGAGATTAATAGCTTTAGCCAAATAATGCGGTAACCATGTGAACGATGAGCTGTTCTAGCATGTTTGCGCGCCTCTCGGCAAGGTTCAGCACACTGCTATCTGCATCTTGTTGCCAGGAGACACAACATCGCCCCGGAACAGAAGGGAAGGCAGGTTGCAGTGACCACCAGTGAACTCCATGGAGAGTCACACCAAGTGCCAGCAGACCACATCAGAAGGTTTAGCAAGCCCTTCTGATACAAGATGTTGCGCAAGAAGACAATACATAGCAAAACTCCTACCTCCACTTCAAGATCCAATTCAAAACAACATCAAGTTTAAGTTTCAGTGTGTAACAGATTCCACGTTTGACATCAGAAGCTCTAGTCTTGGAAACTAGATTCTCACTGACACTTATCCACAAGCTTTTCCAAGGGATGAAATACACACAAGAGTTACAGGACTTGCCAATATGTCATTCCGTGGTAAATGGATATTAAAAATTTACAGCAGTCATCCAGCCTTGCACTGGGGCATGATTTTGCAGCACTGACTGAAGCAAAGATCTTCACATCAGAGAAGGAAGAAGAGTGCAGGCTCTAGAATTAGCAGCTCGAAAGAGACTTCAGTTAGAAAATACTGCTGCTTAAAATCATTTTAGTCCCAGTAGACTACTTTTACCCAAAGAAAGCAGCTACATGGGCACTGGCTGGGTAGCCAGGTGGACTCAGGGAGATGAAGTCCAGCTGTGTTCACAGAGCCTGCCTGCCCCTGGACAGCAGCTTCAGGCCCAGCACAGCCAGTTTCCTGCCACTGCTGCTGACGTCCCGAGCCACCGGCATCATGTGCCGGGACACGCACCCCAGAAGTTTCAGACAGACAGAAACTCTGTGTACCAAGAGACCAAAATACTCACCAGACTGGAAACCTGCACAGTAAGTGTAAAGGCAGACAAGGCTATTCAGCCCATTTTACAGGCTGGAGATGACTAAGCAATTAGGGAGCATTGTTTCTTTTAAAATTAACCATCCTTAACTCCATCATTTAGACGCTGGAGATGATGTGTGTAGCGATGGGTTCTGTGACACAGGCTTCAGAATAAAAACTGCTTGTCTGCACAGAGCTCACATTGAAATTCTTTGTGTGGCTTTGTCTTACTTCTACATTTGCTGTTTTGTTTTCAGAAATCATTTCAAATACTTGGAAAAAAATGGAAGCTTCTCATTGTAGCGTACAGCACAGACTCATATTTTTTCCCCCAGACAATTCTATAAGGTACAATTACTCCCTGTTACATATAATTCTTATTTCCTACTTCACTTTCATTTGCAGTGTGGGGTCTCCATATTCTGGTGCTGTCTTCAGTAAAGAGGATGAAACCACAGAGGCTGATGGAGCCTGAGTTTTAGTGCCTAATCCAGCACCCAGTGAGGTCAAAGTAAAGACTCACGTTGACTTTAAGTATCAGATTTGGTCACCAGTGCCTAATGGGAAATCTCAGCATAGTAAATGAAAATTAAAACATTAAGGAATAAGAGAGGCAGTGAGAACAAATCCACAAGGCCCCAAATGGCAAAGGCAATTGAAGTTTTTATTACACCATCACAGAAGCTTCGCTTTGAACTGTAAGTAAAATGGGTTGCACCAGACTCACAGTTACAGCAGGGCAGATAAGATAGGAGAAATTTGCATTGTATGCTTCCTCCAGAAAATAAAAAGACAGCCTACACCCAGCACGTACCAGAAAACAGGCTGTAGGGGTTCGATGGACTTACTAACATCAGCACTCCCCACTACTACTCAAAATGGAACCTGCATGATAAAAGTTGAAAAAGTTTTGTTCCAGATCTCAAGGTGCAGGATCAAGCCTCTGTTTCTAACATAACCAGGGAAACTAACACCACGATGGATAAATAGCTTCTCATTAATACTTCAACATTTTTACGTGACAACTTAAATAGATGAGCAGCATTTCTGCAGGTATCGCTCAGGTTATTCAGAGTGAATCAGCTGAAACTTCCCCATGCATTAGCAACTGCACGAAATTTCCAGTCAAAGGACTTAACAGCACCTATCTGGTTTGAGTTGCATAGAATGTAATTATGAAAGCTGTGCTTGGAGTGCAGTCAATCTGGATTACAGTGACAGAAAGCAACTGCTCTCTCATTCCTGTTTCAAAGGCTCATTTGTGCTGCCACTCCTTCCAATTCGGAGAAAAAAACTAATTAGGAACATCAAGAACAAGTACAATGTTACACAACAGTCTCTGTCAGCTCTCTCCATTTCTACATGCTCTGAGTCCTTCACCTCCAAAGAATACCTGTCAGGTGACAAGCAGCAGTTTTAACACATGTGCAAGCGTTGTGCCAAACTTGTTACAGTATTATTCAGGTATCATCATCACGGGGTTCATAAAACACTTCTGTGCAAAACATCAAGACAAAAGAAGGCACAAATGTGGCACGTTCTGTTATATTTCTGCACCACTGCTCAATTGAGCCCCCAGGGCTTTCCTAGTAAGGGAGTAAATTCAATTACCTACCGGTATTTCACTTTGATCCTGTCATTGTCAGGGTTGCAGTAGAGTCTTTCCAGATGCTCCTGGGAATCATTGGTTACACTTTGCCAACTCTGGGTCGCTGTCCTTCTCACTTGCCAATGATAAGGCAAGACTGTGTGATGTTTGGGACAATCACTGCCATAAACACAAGTGCCCTGGAGAAAATCCACACAGATTTCTATTCCGTCTTCCTGATGGGTGTGATACTGCAGCTGGTTCAAGAGCTCAAACACCAGGTCAAGAGAAGCTTCTTCACTTTTATCCTGGAATATCCCAGCACTGAATTGATTGCTCGGGTTCAAATTGTATTGCATCGGACAGCTGTTCTCCTGAAATAAGCCAGATGTGTAGCTTTCCAGAATCTTGTCTGGGAACAAAGGACAAGCTGCACCATCACTAGAAGCCGGGTGCAAAAGATGATCCTGGAATGATTCATTATTATTATTATCAGCAGCTGTTCCAGGAGTAGTGTCTGGTGAGAAGCCTTGCCCTCCTGACTGAGCATCCTGCTCAGGGTGCCCAGAAGAAGGACGAGCTACTGGCAACTGACTCTGCACATCTGGAGCTGTTGGCACCAGCACAGTCACGTTACTTTCTGGTTGGGGGCAAGAAGTACCGAGGTCCAGAGTCTTTTTCACAGCAGGTTCACACAGATCACCATGATCACCACCTTGCCCTCGGGGCACAAAGACTCTATCCAAGGTCCCAGCCCCCAGCAAACTGGTGAAGATCGGCCGCAAAGCCCGGAGAGTTTCCGTGTCCAGTCTCTTCTGTGCTTGCTGCTTCTTCTTGAAGCAAGGCTTCACTGGTGGGATCTTTTCAGACAGTCTTATCTGAGGAGGAAAGTCCTCTGCAGGAGGGCACTTCATTCCTGGGCACTGAGCCTGCTGCACAACACACGCTGGCTCTGGTTCCGTGTCCATCAGACAGGCTGCTCTCTCCAAATCACTTTCAAATGTCCCAGAGCCTCCCAAGAATCAATCTGGGGCAGAAAGGAAAACAAGACAGTTAATCTCTCTAATTGCTCATGGTTGACACGAACAAGATCACCCCTAGAGAGGATTTCGAGCCAGCAACAGCAAACTCCTCCCTTCTCTGTGACTGTGGGTAGCCCCTAGGCACGTAAAGCATGAAACCAACTAAACTCAGGCTAATTAATCCCAAACGCACTCGTCCTCTTCTCACACATGAAATCTCAGAGACACTCAGGCACGCACACACAGTCCCCAGAGGATGAGTAGGAAAGGGGGATGGCCTGATGGCCTCCTCCTTGTGGTGGTGTTTAATAATAAACAGCACTTCGGTTCATTCTATTCCACAAAAGCGAACACCGCACTGTTCATTTCCGTGCCTCCCTCACACGCGGACCTGAGAAACAGAAGCATCAGCAGCCGCACAGCCCTGAACGTTCCCACCGCACTTTAAACATCCACGGCTCGTTTCCTCCCCCGGCAGACACGGGCAGGCGCTCACACCCCATCCCCCCCACATCCCCAGCCCGCACACATCCCCATCCCGCTCACATCCCAGCCCGCTCACACCCCAGCCCGCTCACATCCCCAGCCCGCTCACACCCCAGCCCGCACACACATCCCC